CGGACACGACAGCTCATGCCTGCCTTGTGTCGTGGACAACTCATTGCCATTGAAATTTCGAGGCGAGTGATGTCTTTGCAAAGTAGCTGTCGGAACGGATGCCGCCCAACCCAAGCTGACGGCAGTGGTTGCCTCGCTTTTGCGATTAGTTGGCGACTAGTTGCCTTCTCCTTCACCGGTCCTCCAACCTACGTGGACGAATGACCGTCTCTGCTGCGCATTGCGGGGGGCGCTCATACCGGCATTCCGGACTCGAAAGGGCGGCCTCAGGAAGAAATGTCGACTTGTCTCGGCGCACGCTATGTGTTAGCAAGTCCAACGTGTCGCAAAACGATCTGATGTCGCCCTGAGGGCTATCCGGGATGACCCTGGATTGTCTGCCTACTCTTTTGCTTCGAGTCCACGTCGCACGAGTGCAGGTAGCGCTGTAAGTCCTGCAAGGCATACTAGATCGATCTAGGTCACTAGATCCATCGTTGTACTCTCAGTCAGCGAATAAGCATACTCATAAGTCCGACACAGCCAATCCGAGCGATGGCGGATAGCTCAACGCCTGACAGCTCCTCGACCGTGGCTGAGTGAATGTAATCGACGAATTGTGGCGGCGGTGCGACAGCACTTCGTTGCGCAAAGGAAACGTGCCCCACAGGGCACAACAGCAGCATGCGAGACGGGAGCTAAGGTGAACCAGAAAGCAAGACGATGCGCTATCTTGATATACGATTCGACCATGTTGGGCATCAGTTACAACTTGCCCTCGTCTCCCAAACAGTGAAGCGGACGATGCAAGTCAAAAACGTAAAGCCTTGCTATTCCTCCGCTGCAGCATCGAGGGCGACCATGAGGCCTGCTGCGTCACAGAAGACGAGGCGGAGTGGTCAGCCTGATGCGTGTATACCACTGCTGGCGTGCCACGTCTTTTGGAAGGCGGGAAATGAGAGCCTGACACGTAGGATACATCACGCACGATTTGGGTGCTTGGATGTTTAGAGTTCAAGGTGACTGACGTGGTGGTTCTGCCTGCTTGGCTTGTTGGCGTCAGTGACGATGGTGGCAGCATTGCGGCTGTGCATGGTGGTGGCGCTGATGCCTGCTCATAACAGACCCTGCAGGTTGTGGCGTAGATAGATACTTCTCTAGGCAGACACAAGGTATTTCGCAGAGACAAGTCAGTTCGACGCAAATTGGATACCCAGCGGATAAAATCTAGATGGTTTCATTACATACAGCTCTTCGTTAAACGTCGGCAATACGTACAACAACCCCATTAATCATCCGTAGCTTACAACACAGCCCTCACTTCACCATTACTTCTTGCCTCAGCCCTCGTCTCCCTCTCAAAATCTTTCCACTTCTTCTCAACATCATCTTCACAAACATAGGTGATGAGCCAGCTACCCACACCACCCCATCTCCACGCCAGAGGGTCATCACCAACCTTTAGTCCCTTTTCTTCATATTGCTCCTTGCTTATCCTTCCCTTACCATGAAACTCACCAAAAGCGCGAAGCGTACTATCGCGTTCTTCTTGTTCAGGACCATCGTGGACATGATAGAGATATTGCTGACGGTTGCCGCGCGAAACGACTCGTTCAGTGCGTTCGCGACGACAGCGTTCATAAACTGCTAATGCACGTTTCTTCTCTGTCGTTGACTTGCTCTTGATCTTACCCAAGCATAGGCCGAGAACATGTCCATCCTCCAAAGACATACCAGCGCCCGACGCGAGGTAGGGAAGAGTGGCATGTGCAGCGTCGCCGAGGATGGTGTATGCACCTGTTTCATGAGACCAAGTGGGATCGAGACCAGGCCGAATCATCAGCCGCCACTTGGCCACCTCCTGGCAGAGTGCAAGCAACTTGGGTATCCGTGGATCCCAGTCCTTGTACAGGGCACGCATCTCTTCGACATTCCCAGCAAGTGTGTTCGCGCCGGCGGGCATATCATCGGGCACCAACAGCACCATGTTGAAGAGCTTGCCGCCGCGGAGGACGTAGTTGACGGCGTGGGCATCTGGTCCTATCCAGTAGTTGACCTGCGGGTCTTCCACAAATCCCCTGAGCTCAGGATCCTTCAACATGTCCGCGGTATTGAGCAGTAGTCGGTAAGCCAGATCGCCAGTGAGTTGTGGGGGGTCCTCGTGGCCGAGCAGTATCTCTCTGCATTTCGAGTTGATGCCATCGGCGCCTACAACTAGATCGGCTTTGTGTCTTGTCCCGTCCTGACACACGGCGATGGCTCTTGTGGCGTTGTTCCCCACATCGGCCTCGTACTCAACGTCTACGACACGCGCCTTTGTCGTGAGCTTCGCGCCAAGCTCCACCGCTCTTTCCAAAAGTCCCATGTGCAGGTTCGCCCTGTGGAAGTCCCAGAAGGGTGTGCCGCATTCCTTCTCGTATTCGTGGAAGTCCATCTCGCTTATCTTATTGCCTTTCCAACCGATCATGTTGCACAGCCGTGGCGAGGTAGCGTGTTTCGAGAGGTAGTCTTCTAGACCCCAGGCTATGAGGACGCGCGAGGAGTTGGGGAGACATTGTATGCCGGCGCCGATTTCGCCTATCTCTGAAGTACACTCGAGGATGTGTACATTGTGACCGGCGAGGAGGATTGATATGGCAGCTCCGAGACCGCCTAGACCAGCGCCGACGATTATGACCTTGATATTATCATTAGCTGTCGCTCTTCTAGGCTCATCGGCGAATCTTACGTCGAGCTTGCTGGACTCATCTCTATGCTGCTTCAGGATAATCTGGGGTTTAACAACAACCATGATGTCACAAGTTTGAAGCTCTCAACGAAATAAAGTAAGTTCAGTATTGGATAACCAAGGAAAAAGCAAGGTCGATGCCAGCGTTACAGTCGATACGTATCGTCCATGAAGAGTGTAAACACTTCCAGCATACATTCAATACTCGAACCGTCATCACACACAGCCATGCTCACCCACCTATCGCGAATGATACGCGTGACAGCTAGTTGGCTGACAGTCACTGGACCGATGCAAGGAGATCAAGTCCATGGCGCTTATCGAGCTAGTCCGGCATCCGAGCTCTGGTGCAGTGGAGGTCCAAGATGGGGGAACGCTCGATTGGTGGGTATGAAGGCATAATCGCGTCTACGGATGGTCGTTTGGTGCATTGATGCAAGAGTGGGGGGAACGTGATGGTTGGAAGATGCACAAGTGGCTGGCGTGAGGGGTATGCAGTAACGCGGTGGCCATAGCTCCAACCCGCGGAATCCTGTTCCGATCATTCCGAGATAGGCATGCGGGTCTCATTCACAGGCATGGAGACGACGATGTCACGGTTAATGAAGGCCTGCGCATCTCTTGAATTATACAGCAATGGAACTTTCTGGTCGCTATTTTGGCATAGGTCCATCGTAATCAAGCAGAGAGTACGCCTTCCCTTCCTTCTGCAACTTCAGGATTTCACCGCGTGGCGACGGCATCATCGCATTCTCGGGTACCGTGTTATTCTTCTTGAAGTCGTCCGCCATTTGTTCCATGGTCACCCATTCCACGCCCTCGTGTTTGTTGATGTGCTCGATTATCCTACCACACTTGTCAGTGCACTTCATACTTCACTTGCTCACCGAACACACCTTTCATGCATGAGCACAACATGTGGTCTTCCACTGACGTCCGGGTGGATTGTCATTGGGAAGACAAACTCGTCGTACTCCCGATAGAAGTAATCGAAGTGATCCATCCATATCTGTTCCACGTCCCTCGGATTTACCCATCCATGGCTGTTCGCGCTCTTCTTCATGAACATCATTGGCGGTAGGTCGTCGATATACCAACTGCCCGGTATCTCTACCAGACCCGTTTCTTTCCCTTTCGTGAGAGGCTTCATCCATTCCGTCGCCTTCTTGGTATAGTCGATCTTGGTCCACTCATCGCCCGTACGTAGCCAATAGCAGCGATGGTCTTCGTGCGACATGGAGTGGTCGTATTCGATGCCGTAGCTGAGCAGTAGCTCGGTACCCTCTTTGGACGTCTCCCACCAGGGTGCGACGGAGCCTCGTGGAGGTTTACCATTGCAGAAAGCAGTGAGTTGTTTGTAGGTTTTGTCAAGAACGTCGCGTTGTTGCTCAAAGGTCATGTCGGCAGGGTTCTCGTGCGAGTAGCCGTGTAGTCCGATCTCGTGTCCTGCATCTCGTACGGCAGCGCAGTCTTCGGGGAAGGTGTCGAGAGAGTGACCGGGCTATAAACGATCAGTTCAGCAATCATGGCTTCGGAAACAGTTGAAGCTCACGATGAACCATGTTGCCTTGATTCCGTACTTGTCGAAAAGCTTCAGCAGGCGCTGAGTTCCTATTGTTCCAGCCCAGAGCCCTGCATCATGTAAGCAAGAGCCCGACCTCTAATGCCAGACAGCAAACATACCCCGACTGATGTCACTCGTGGAGTCTTCACCTCCATATGAACCAAGCCAGCCAGCAACAGCCTAGTATCGCCCAGTCAGTAATTGCGCAAGAACTTGCTGCTCACATCAAGTCTTACATCGATGTCAACTCCATAGCTCACGAGAACCTTCTTCTTTGCCATAGTGTTTGTTATTCCAGACGCGACAATGTTGCAGTATAATAGAAGTTGACGCGATGATTCGGTCAGGAAGAAAGACAGTGAGATTTACTGCAAACGCGCAGCAAGAGCGATCAATGGTCGCATAGCTCATGATAGCATGTGTAGCTACCCCGCTTATCCTTCGAACCGCCAATGCTGGGTAACCCGTCTGGTGGAGCTGATTGCTCGATTGGAAGGTGGGGTGATGCTATGATTCATCGTACCTGCCGACGGCTGCTGCGGAGCTTATCAACGCGTGCTCGCGTGGACACGTGCATTAGCGTCTATCCTGCGAACTCGGCAACTAGTATGGAAAACGCATTATCCAAGTTTGTACTTTTGCAGAGCAACGCACGTGAGTCGGACAGTTGCAATGTGAATTTGGACGAGTTATACGCGCAAGATACATTGGCGATAGCAGAGACCTATCCTAGGCTTGCTTCTTCAATATGCTGTCGATAACCGTGGCTGCACCTAGAGCCTTCTCCTCTTGTAGTCTTCTGGCAACGATTTGAATGCCTATCGGCATACCATCCATCGTGTCCAAATCGAAGGTCTTCCAGTTCCACTCATCTAGTGTATTCCTAGGCTCATACTCGCCCATCTTCTTCGCAGCCTCCCTGTCAAGCTCTTGCGAGACTTTGCCAGCTGGCAGGACTACTGCCGGGTAATCGACAAAGTTGAAAACTTTGGTGTATCCAACCCATCTGCATTTCCGATGAGGTACCGCCGAATGAGGCATGACAGGTGTGAGAAGGACATCAATCGGTTTGTCAGAGCTGTCAGACTTTGTCGAATTCCAGAGGTCGAGGTAGCGCTTCTGTAGCTCAAGCTTCTTCTTATTCAGCTGCCAGTAGTCGTAGACGGAGATGGCCTTTCCCCTGTTGACCAGAGCCTCTACATGCGGAATGAATGGCTCTCCACCCGCGGCAACGTCTCGCCTGATGTCTTCACCACCGTCTGCTGTGTAATACTGATCCTGATCCTGGTCAGCTCAGAGTATAGATTTCGTTCCGCGCACTTACCATGATATCAATACACTCTTGATGGAGGGTGCCGGGAGTCCACGATATAACCTCATGTCCGGCCTTCTGAAGCTTTACGGCGACTTCATCTAGAACGCGGGTGATGGGCGGATGGCATCTCACAACCCCATCATCTCGCATGATAGCAACTACTAGCGGTCGCGTACGTGCATCTTCGAAAATTTCAGATCGCCATGGTACCGGGCAGCACTTCGGGTCTTGTTCCCATGGTTTTGCGTCAATGACTGCTCTTGTGACTGCAGTAAGCGAACTCATATTGCGTGTCATCGGCCCAATGACCGAGGGAACGTGTTCTTGACCATCAGTTGATACGGATACGCCCTGGTACGGAAGGCGAGTGCTACTAGGCTTCAGTGCGTACAACCCGTTCATGTGTGAAGGTATTCGCACGCTGCCGCCAATATCAGTACCCCAGCCGACCACAGTGCCTTGGAGTGATAGAAGCGTAGCTTCTCCGCCAGTCGAGCCACCAGGCGTGAAGTCGACGTTCTTCGGATGAGTAGTGAGGCCCCACAACGGATTGTCGGTTTCGCACCACTGAAAGACATGAGTGTCATGCTATCATACGCGAAAGCTCATTGCAAGACGTACCATAATGCTCTGTGGCAGGTTGGACTTGGCGACGATGATCGCGCCCATCTCCTTCAAAAGCGACACCAGTACGCAGTCTTGCTGGGCAGGTTTGGAGGCGCGCCCAACATACCCAAGGGTACTATCGTAGCCTTTGACATCGAACTGATCCTTGAGGGTCATTGGCACCCCATGAAGGGGCCCTACCAATTGACCAGTCTTTTCGAACTGACCATCCAACGCTTTGGCCTGTCTGATCGCATTGTCAAAAAGGATCTCGGTAAGGCTACGTAGATCAGCAAGTACTCTTAAGCAGATTTATGAGTTGGACACGTGCCAGTTCGTCTTGGAGAAATGTTAGCAAATTTCCGCGTTCGCAGCTTAGGACACGGTGGTGGGGTCGTACTCGTTTGTGGGCGTCTATGGCGCTGGAAGATGTGGCGTGAGAATGGTACGATGCAAGAGCAAGCCGCGGACCTCACCGGTTGATGTAGGCATTGAGCAGCAGCGATGCCGTCACAGCACGCGACATTATGGCTTCTGGAATGAGTCGGACATCGTCGATGGCTGTCACATCTTGATTACTATGGGATCCGCCGGTTCCATTGGGTTGCTGGCGTCGTCAATGTGAGTCTTCGGCGCGTTCGAGCGTAAAGTACCTCGGGCAGCGGTACTTGTGCATCAATAAATTTCTGAATAGCGTCGTCCCGTAGCTTGCGCTTCTCAGTAGCAGTTTGCAGCCACTGCGGTAACTCAGATGTCGTCATGTTGGGCGTAGTTGAACGGCTGGGAGGTAGAGGCATGGAAGTCACTCATGTAGATACCCGTGGACACATCAACAATACCCGCATATCAGACGCATCGCACAACGTCAGCATGGTATAGATAACGGCGATTCCAGAGCCATCGGCTTTTGATCTCCCTCGCAGGCGCGTAGTGTTGCTGGCGTTTGGGCGCAGGTGGGGGAGATGATGCAGGGATGCCGAGGTGGACGGGCGCGCGCTCCCACCCGCCGGACTGAACGCGTCCACGGCGGAGTGCATGTGTCTGCTACTCCCCCTTGCCTCGCATCACCCCATCGCAGCAAACATTTTCGCGGTCAGCAGCATGTTGACGCACTCTTGCAGACGTCATGGCACTCTTCAATGGCATCAAAATGGGCAGATGTTTGCCAGAGAGTCAAACGATGCCCCTCCATCCTCCACACGTACATCCGGACCCCCATCTTTGCCCCTAGTGGCCCGTCATCAACGCAGACCATAGGCCTTATAGCATGGCTCCTTCGTTATGGAACCTAATGAAGCGCTCAACTTCCAACAGCCCGCCGTCATCGGTTAGACAGAAGATGGCTCCTGGCATCACGGCGCCAGACTCCGAGTCTCGTTCGTCGGGCAACAGCTTGGAGGTTGCGTCGCAGATCTCGTATACCAGAGACGATGACTACTCAAGCTTCATGAGTGATGTTATGGTTGTTGGTGCAGGACCAGCTGGTCTGATGCTTGCGTAGGTAGAATCAGGCCAATTGAGCAAACACCAACTGACAGTGACAGTGACAACCTGGTACGATATGGTATTAAGACGCGCATCATCGACGACCGACCCGACCGCACTTCGACCGGACGCGCCGACGGAATCCAACCAAAGACAATCGAAACTTTGCGACAGATGCGCCTTGCCGAGCCGCTGCTGCGAAAGGGTGTCAAGATCTATGACATTGCTTTCTGGAAGTCAACCGCCGACAAGTCGCTTCATCGCACCGGTCGTGAGATTCACTACCCGCCGGTAGTTGACTTACTCGATCCATACATCTTGCTGGTACACCAGGGCATGGTCGAAGGCGTCTTGGAAGACGACCTACGGGAAAGGGGCGTCGTCGTTTCCAGGAACACGGCTTTCGTCGACTTTGACTACACACCCATGTCTATCCGTCCACTGACGGTCAACTGTCAGCAAGACGTCAGTCACACCAAGAAGACCTTCGCCACACGGTTCGTCGTCGGCTGCGACGGAGCTCATTCGAAAGTCCGCCATTGCATACCAGGAGCGACGCCTATGGGCTCATCAACCGATGCCGTCTGGGGCGTGCTCGATGGTGTCCTCGAAACCGATTTTCCTGATATCTGGAGCAAGGTGGTCATACAGTCAGACGCTCTAGGATCTGTCTTGATGATCCCTCGCGAAAGAGGTCTGACCCGTCTATACATTGAACTGCGGCCGGATTCGACGGAGGCAGTGGGAGCCCAGCAGACTACACAAGAGTTTGTTCAAAAGCGGGCACGGGCTATACTGCGCCCATATCGACTCGAGTGGAAGACTGTTGAGTGGTTTGGACGCTACAAGATCGGACAGCGAGTCGCAGCGCGTTTCACTGACCACGAGCAACGAGTGTTTATTGCTGGCGATGCTAGTCACACTCATTCTCCCAAGGCGGCGCAGGGCATGAACACAGGGATGCATGTGAGTTCGAACTGAACAGAATGAACATGGAATATACACTTACTTCTCTTTCTGTATAGGACGCGTGGAACTTGGCCTGGAAACTCAACTTCGCGACGCGCGGCCTTGCGAAGCCTGCTCTTCTCGAATCGTACGAGCAAGAACGACAGAAGATTGCCAAAGACCTGATCGACTTCGACTACGAGCACGCCAATGCTTTCCACGACGGAGACCCGGTAGCGCTTGCGGCAAACTTCGCGAAGAACGTCGCGTTCATCTCTGGCTACGGTGTCAGCTACGACCTCAATACTCTCAACGTGCAAGCGAAGGGTTACAATAAAGGGCATCTGAAGCCGGGCTACCTGCTGCCACCTGCGAAGGTCACACGCTACATCGATGCCAATCCGGTCGACATCCAGACCGACATACCTGCCCTCGGTCAATTTCGCGTCTACTTCTTTACCCACAATGTTCATGCGTCCATGCCATTCTTGGAGAACGTGTGCCACTCGCACATAGGAAACAACTCATATGTCGGCCGCGTAACAGCTGCTGGCAACGCCTCATACACCATGCAGCCACCTCTCGCAGCACCCCACGATCAGTTCGTCTTGCCTGAGCGATACACTCCCGTCAGTGGTGTCTTCACGTATGCCTTAGTGACCGACGAGGATCGCAACAACTTCGAAATCCGAGACCTACCAGCCGTACTTCGCGAGTCCGCCTTCACATTATACCTTGATGATATTCCAGACAAGGATACTCGGAAACAGACATGCATGGACAAGTGGCTGGACGGTCTTGACGAGAAGGAAGTCGTTGTTGTCAACGTACGTCCAGATGGCTATGTCGGAACAGTGCGGAGATTCGCCGACGGCACCAGGGAGAGTGGGATGGCTGCTGTACAATGGATGGACGAATACTATGAGCAGTTCCTGCGAGATACGTAGAAGCAGACATTTTGGGTTATCTCGACAGTTTCGAGATTGAGGTGCATGGCTTTGGAGTTTGAGGGAAATTCTAGGTATCAACCTGGCAGAGATAGATTCATGACTATGATTACCGTTGTTTCCTACCATCATGGTAACAAATCACGTGTCGAATGTAAGTTTTGGCTTTAGTGTATCGCAACCATGGCTATGGTAACAAAGCTCCCGTCCACGGACACTCGTATACAACTTTGGCAAGCCCTTCTCTTGCGGGCTTGGCATTAGCCAGACGTACGCCTATCTCCAGCATATGTCCGCTGCACCTAGTCAGTCTTCTGCATGTGTCTCTCCCCCACTCTTATCAACATTTCCTCTTTCAGACTTCCGCTTTATCAATAAAGGTCGCTTGCAGCGCGATCCTTCGGGCCCCAATGTGCTGCGCGCTCGGTTCACACCGTTTATGCGCTACGCTGCTGATCTGTTCGGTGGCGATAGGCAAGATAGACGCATGTGAACTGGGAGCAAAGATGGGAGGCTCAGTGGCGTTGTACATGCATGAGTAACAGCTCAGACGTTACATGACAGGATGCTACTTAAAGCCATGGCGCTTTACTGAGCAAATACCGGTATAATAGCCAGCCATCATCTTTTATAGTATTTTCGACCATCTCAGGTCTACCCTTGCTTCGGTGCGCGCGTTGCAATGCCGAACGAGCAGCACAAGGACGCCACCATGATTGAAGAGAAGCCCCGAAGGCTATCCGGTTCGAGCACATCGAAAGAAGAAGCTGGTATAGTCATTGACACTTTCGATAAGAATATCGAGAGCGCCTATGGTATGTTCTGACTTGTCGTTACCAAACAATGACCACATATTGATAGATCATGCAGTCCAAAAGCTCGACTTCTATCTGTTGCCATTCCTCTCGCTGATGTACTTCTTCAACAGGTGGGTTCATTCACCTTGTATCTTGACCTTACGGCAGACTGACCCGACACAAGCGTTGACCGATCGAACCTGGGCAATGCGAAGACAGATGGGATGGACAAGGACCTTGGCTTTACTGGCGAACAGTATAGCTTGTTGATCCTGCTATTCTACATCCCGAACGGACTGTGCGATCTTCCACTCAATATGTTGACAAAGAAGTGGAGTGGGAGAGTTATGCTTCCGACTTGTAGGTCCATCTTCTTAGATCACGCAACATGAGCTGACGATAAACCACAGTGATGGTAGGGTGGGGCGCGATGGCTCTCCTCCAATGCGCAGCACACAACTTCGCAGGCATGCTCGTCATTCGTCTCCTTCTCGGTGCCTTCGAGGCCGGGGTCTTCGCTGGCGTCGTCTTCTACCTCACGCTCTTCTACACGCGCGGCGAACTCGGCTTCCGCATCGCACTATTCTTTGGCAGTGCACTTCTTGCCGGTGCTTTCAGCGGCCTCATCTCCTTCGGCGTCTTTCAGATCGAGCATATCAACATTCCCGGCTGGAAGTTTCTCTTCATCATAGAGGGCGCTCTTACTGTGGTCCTCGCTTTGATAGCGTATGCCTGGTTGCCAGCGACTCCTCAATCGGCGTGGTTCTTGAACGAGGCTGAACGCAGCGTTGCCGAACGTCGTACACTCCGCGATCTATCCTCATCCGGCTCCCACGAGTTTAACATACGAGAGTGTTTCAAGGAATGGAACACGTGGAAGATGCTTCCTTGGTGCATCATCGCCTTCACTTACCCTGTAGCTTTCAGCACGACCTCGAACTTTCTGCCTCAGATCGTCCAACGACTAGGATATTCCGTCATCAAGACCAATCTCTGGACCGTAGCGCCAAACGCGGTGGGCTTCGTCGTCTTGCTCTGCATAACGTACAGCAGCGACTTCTTCCGCGAACGCACGTTCCACATCTGCGGCGCTCTTTGCATTTCTCTCGCCGGACTGGTCGTTCTCGCAACCATTGACGTTCTCAACAACAAAGCCGTCGCATACTTCGCTTGCTTTTTGTTATGTGCAGGCGCGTACGTACCTTCCTGTCTCGTACACTCTTGGCACAACAACAACAATCTCAACGAGAACGCTCGCGCTGCTACGACCGGCCTCATGGTCGGACTAGGCAACCTTGGAGGCATCGTCTCCGCTGCGACCTTCAGACAGGAGTACGCGCCAAAGTATCTGCCGACGCTTTATGCAACTGCGGCTTGTAATGTTACGTGTATCTGCTTCACACTGTGGCTGGGAGGGTGGATGAAGCTGGAGAATCGACGGAGAGACAAGGTGCAAGGTGTCAGACTGAGGGCGGATGATGTTAGAACTAGCGAGTTGGGCGATGGAGAAGAGAGTGAGATGTGGAGATACTTCACTTAGGCAGTGCTGCATTCTTTCATGTCAGCGGATCGAGTGGCTTTGTGCGGATCAAATGTATATATGAATGCAACCTCAGTTCTACGCAAGAGTTACCACTTGGATTGCTGCGTTCCGCCCTCGAGCAATGGCGTAGACACCGCCCAATGCGGTAAGCGCAGCCACTAGCACGCACGGCCTTCTTTGGTTCACATTTTCCTTCGAGATAGCAGCCCCAACTGTCGTCGCGTTGTCATCCCCTCTACGCATTCCTTCCGCTGATTCATCGCAATTTTCTTATCATTGATGCATTTTGACACTCTCTGGCGCAGTCTTGCGCTCGGTTTGCACGCAAGTTGCCGAGCATGGCTTGCGTCACGAAGTACAGCAACGTCATCGCTCGGACAAAGCTGGAACAGCAAGGCCCTAGTTTCGCTCAGGCCAGCAGGCATACAATTCTCGTCGTCAAGGTGGTCGTCGCAAGGGTTGCAGAAGCGAGATGATGAGGAAGAGACGCGTGCCACCCAGCAACACGACCCATCAATGGGCGACGGGGCAGTCCTGGATACAAGTACGAAGCACGATGCAGATGTTGTACACGAAGTGACATCAGAGGCCAAAGCACGGCATGAAGCTGCAATTCAATCGATTAGCGCTGCGATCGATGACGACAGAAGCTTCCCGATCACGATGCCATGGATGCATTACGTTAAACTCTTGCCCACACCCTCTGATAAGAGAGCAGCGGCTCTTGCATTGTTGGAGCTTTTGCGGCCTCATATCATACTGACGAGATCAATGTACAAACGCACAGTGCCAGGACAAAAGGCACCACGGGATCGCTTAAGGCGCCGACTCCGGCTCTTGTGTAAGCACAAAGATCATATTGTTGAATTTGAGAAGCAGATCAAAGCAAGTGACGAGACTCCTGGCACGGATCCAGAGGGGGAGAAGGCGGAGCCCCGAAAATCTTTCACGGATTTCGTTGAGAGGTCGCTTGCCAATGATGAGTACATGGCAAAAGGTTGGTTTACGCGCGTTGCCCCAAGGCTACCGCGGGATGAGCAAACAAGGCTCTTTCGTGAAACGACCGCGATACTGTTGGCGAAGGTACGAGAATACGAAACTAGGGGCTCAGCAAAGAGCCTTCAGCAACGCGAGATTTCTGCACTCCTGCACCACATCGACCGATCGTACCGACAGCTTCGAATACTGGGGCATGCATCCATCGATACTGCGACCTTGGGGCGGCCCTTTAATCCGTTCACAAGAGTCTCTCACTCTACTCTACAACAGGAGATCAAACAGATGGAGCGTTGGCGCGCAGCTCAGAGTTCGTCCTACAATGAAACACTGGAATACCTGAAGCCAACCACAAAGCTTGATGGGATGTCAAAACATATCCTTGAAAAGCAAAACAAGGTTACTAGCCTTAAGCTGCTCTTTTCCGGCGACTATCTTGAGAGACTCCGTGCAGAAAAAAGGTCTGTATTGTCAATCGAGCCAGAGACAGACACGACAGGTCAGCAGTTGGGCTCTAGTCCGGAGTCCACTCAGACCCGTGGAGCTTCGAAACCCGTCATGGTCATGGTGCCGTACCAAGTCCAATACCACATTCTGGGTGATGTTCACGAACGGTTCAAACGAGCAATTTTCGTATTTGGCCGACGTCAGTTTCCCGATGTAATGCAAGAGAAGAACTTGAATGACCCCGAAGGTTTATCTATCAAGGACTTTGAAAAGCTCCTGGACGAGGACGAACATTGGCGCCACCTCTATAAGATCATCCAGAGAAGGCTTGAATCTCTTCGCTTCATCCGCAATGCGTATGCACACGAGTTCACGGAGGTGAATCTGGACCGTCTTGAGGAGTTGCTTGCTGATGCCCAGAGCATTGCTTGGCTTGTCGAAGATAGCTCCCTCGTCATTCTGACGCAAAAGTACAGAGATCTGCTAACAGTATATGGCAAGAGGTATTCAGATGAGTGCGCTGGCCCAAGGCAGTTGGCCGCCCAGAGATATTCGGCCGCAAACAAGCAGCTCAAGATTGCGAAAACTCGATTGTATCACTCCTGTACATCAACCCACACGAAGCGGTATCGGGCAGAGAAATCACGTATCGAGCGCATACAACAGGAGTCAAAGGCCGCCGCTAGAGCAGAGTACGTTCAGTTTGAGCTGAACTTGGCTAGCGAGCTAAAGGCCTTTGCGCTCGGTTCGTCCATTCGATATCGCTTGGGGTTAGGCGACTCGTCCTGGGCTGCTCGTCTGGTGAAAACACTCTATGAAGAATACGCAACCACGCACGATAGCCCGACAACTGAATCAACTGCCGAGGTCACCAAACACGCAGGGAACATGCGCACGTCCATCACTGTTTCGGGTACTTCAACCCCATCCTCGACCGCCAACGATGACAGACCGGCCAGACCAGCAAAGGTGGACAGACAGTGGCCATATAAAAAGCCTGCGAGGACTCTTGGTCACCGTCATAGATGGCTTGGGATTACACGGGGAGAAGGAAGCGACTAGGTGCCGAAGAAATAGATGTCGCGATTGAATTTCTCGATCTTGGCATTTCATAGGCCACCACTACCGCCAACTAAACGCCACTGTACAAGCCCTCTAAGAACCATCATACCATCATGCACGACAGCCCACCGCACCTTGCTCAAACACTTGCTTAC